TGTCTTAGATCCTTGCATTGCTGAGAAGAGCTAAGTCTATCCAAGTTAGTCATCGTACAACGTGACTTTCTGGTTCTGCTCACTTCACTCAGCATTAGTCCATACAAGTCTTTCCAGGTTTTTCTGAAGTCCACTTAAGTAAATTATTCTGGGTGGATTTTTTTTCCCCAGGGATCTAGAAGATGAAAAATCCATTAGACTTTCTATACAATCTTCCCTAATAAAATGTTTTATTGATTTTTTTACATCACTGTCACTTCACAGTAACTCCCCCCCCCAAATAGAATTCATCCTTGTGATTAATAGGTATAGCAAAGCAAAACAAATTAAGCTGTTGGTCAAATACATGCATCATTCTATAACTGTAGTCTTTTGCCTTTCTGCATTTAGGCAGGACGTACATATTGCACCATCAGTTTTCTGAAGACTGGATTGGTGATTCTGTTGATTAGAATTCTGAAGTCTTTTGGTAAAGTAAGATTTTCTTTATATCACCAAAGTGATTATATAAATAATTCATTCAGCCCAGGAGCTCGCATCTGGAAGAACCCTGCTTCTCTCCCTCGGTTGGGAGGGTGGAGGATTCCTCCCAGAACCTTCATTTAGGAAGGGTGTTCAGGCCAGCCATCTCTTCCCCAGGTTGTTCTCCTTTGGATTTTTCTATCACACTCCTCCCCATCCTTTCTGCTTCCTTTTATGTGTTTTCTTTCCCATTAGAATATAAGATCCTTGAGGGCAGGACTGTCTTTCTTTTTGCTTACCTTTGTATTTGCTCTTATTAGTATTTCTCCCACTTAGTACTGTGTCTGGAACATATATAGTAAAAGCTTGGTAAGTACTCACTGACTGAATTCTTAGCCATTTCTTATGGCATAATAGTAACAACAATATTTATGTAGCACTTAAACATTTCAAAGGTGCTTTATATATGTCATGATAACAAATCATGATATAGGTGCTATTATTATCCCCATTTTACCAATGGGAAATTTGAGAGTGAGAGGTTAAATGACTTGCCTAGGGCCACACAGCTGCTAAGCAGGAATCAGACCTTCCTAACTCCAAAGCAAGGGTTCTATCCATTGTGCCACCTGGTTGCTGAACATGTAATATTCCATGACATTTCCATACCACAATTTGTTCCACATTTCAAAAATGATGGGTCGCCACTTCCCTCCGTCTCCCAGTATTCTTGGCTACTATTTGCCTACAATTTGCTAGCATTCTTTTGCTAGAAAAAAGAGATGTTTTGATGACATTTGTATGTACGTGAGGACTTTCTCTATGAAAAATCCAACATCTTCAACATTTATCACCAGTATCTTGGAAGATAAAGTTATTTTAAAGTTTTTATTACCATCTAGGAATTTCGCTCTCTCATGGGGGTGGAGGGAGGGAAGGAGATAACTGTACTTCCACAGACTGGGCTAAGTTGCTTTATGGATTTGGTAGACAGTTGATAGGTGTGCCAGTTGTGGGAACACACACACACACACACACACACACACACACACACACACAACATTTAACATGATTGAAACTCCTGTCTACAGTGTTTTAGGCTCTTCATTTTCAGAGTTCTTTGAATCATGAAGGTTAAACATGACTTCATTTCATTCCATTTATTTCATCACATTTCCCCAAATTGCATGAATTCCTGGCTAACGGCATATATCCTTCTGTTGAATAAGAATATATGCCACCTACAGGCCACAGGATTTTTGACATTTTGTTTTGGTTAAAGTGATTCTATTCCAAAGGGTATGTAGGGTGATAGAAATGTAACAAACAATAATAATCTACATTTACTAAGTAGAGTCCTGGGTGAGAGAATAAGTTTATGTGACACAGTCTCTGCCTCATAGCTTACTGAGGGGATTAGATACCAAAACAGATATCTCCAAACCCACTAAATGCCCCCTTCTCACACTCGTAGTCCTCATGGTTGCTATTCCAGTTTCAAGGTACTTGGTTCTGTATGCCCTCACTGGTGTGCTTATTTTTTTCCCCTAGTCAGCCAGAAGACACTATTAGTTCAGAACAAAAACATTTATAGTTTTCTATAGGGTATGCATAGGAAGCATTCATAAGGAGGGCACACATGTAGGGAACGTGTATGCCAGGGTACACGTGTAGGGGCAGTTTGTGCCTTTGAAGTTGTTGTATTGTTCAGTCATGTCCATCTCTTGGTGACCCCGTAGACCCTTCTGTCTTCTCCTGTCTCCCGAAATCTGTCCATGGTCATGTTTGTTGCTTTGATGATACTAACTGTCCATCTCGTCCTCTGCCATTCACTTCTCTTGCCTTCAGTCTTTCCCAAATCAGGGTCTTTTCCAGTGAGTCCTGTCTTCTCATTATGTGGTCAATGTCTTTAAGCTTTGACGTTGTAGGATTACCAAAAAGTCTTCTGCTTTTGTCATCCTGTTTCTATCATTGCGCCTGTTCCCTGCTGATCTGTTCTATGGAGTAGCAGCTCGGTTTTGCTTTGCTGATCTCCTGATGGCCACTGGTCATTGGGCATGTGGTCTTTGTGGATCTTGCTTCCTGGTACTAGCTTCTGGCCTCATCTCTTCAGGATCACTATCTGCTATCTCAGCTCTGGCCTGCTAAGATACAGAAGCTAGAATTGTCTTCTGATAAAAACAAGCTGATAGTTTTTAAGTCATACCTAGCCCCCCATACTTAACTAGCCAAGCCAGGTAGAATGCCCTAATATAATATTGCCTTTTCTTTTTGACCCTTTTCTCGGGGTAGAGATCCTAGTCCTCTGTTACAAATAACTACCTAATTTAGGGTTCGTCTTTTCCAAGACACTCTGTTATCTTAGCATGCAGATAAATGTAAGGCAAAAGATAAGGTAAGCTAAGGAGAATGGGTTACCATTCTCTACTCATCAAATCCAATCCATGTCTTTATTCATATTTATTAGCAGCAGAGCACCTTTGCTTTGGTGCTGTGTTTTGACCAGCAAAACACCTTAATGTTTCCATGTTCTTCTAGTACTAGGCCTCAAAGGACTCATTGTAAAAAATGTCATCCCCTTCCTAAGAGAGAAGTGATGGTGTCTGAATACAGACTGAAGCATACTATTTTTCACTTCCCTTTTTTTTGTTCCTTTTCTTCCACAATATGACTGTTTTACATGATTACACATGTGTAACCAATATTGGATCGCTTACTGTCTTAGGAAGGGAGAGGGGAAGAGGGAGAAAGGGATAGAATTTAGAATTCAAAACTTAATAAAAGCAACAAATGTTAAAAATTGTTTTTACATGTAATTGGGGAAAATAAAATATTATTAAAAATAGGGTTCCTACATTTAGAGTTGGAAGGAATCTTAGGGGTCACCTTGATTTATCTCCACAGTTTTATAGGCAGAGCTGGGGTTCAAGACCAGGTCCTCTAACTCTACCCTAAGTGAATATACTAAGAAGTTCTGAAAGAAGTAATTTTAGTTGTAGATAATGTGAAGCAAATCCATGAAGGTGTGAGAGTTCATTTCATATGGGGAAGGGTGCAGAGGAGAATAATATAGTTTGGCTGAAGTATCAGCTGTATAGATGGGACTAAAATGAGATTAAGAAGAAAAAATAGAGTGTTAGTGTGTTATAGAAAATCTCGTGTCAACCAGCAGAAATTTACTTTACCTATTAGGCAGTCATGAGTCGTTGAAGAATTTTGAGCTTTTGGAATCTAGCAGTTGATAGTAGTGGAAATCATAGTGATTTGGAGTCTCAGATCATGGTTTGGCCATTGTGACCTTGTGCAAGTCACTTTTCCTCTGTGGATCTCATTTTTCTCATTTGTAAAATGAGGGGATAGTGGACCGGATGGCTTCTGAGGCCCTTTCTAAATTTAGATCTTTGATTCTAAGATCTGTGGACCTCTGTTCTAGATCTATATATTAGAAAGTTCTAGAGGTGATCTATAGGATGGATTGGACAAGGAAGATATGGTTAATAGTCTACATTGGTGCTACTAAGGACCATTACCTGGATGGGAGTGACAATGAAAAGAGAGATGGGAATATAGATTTATGATTGATAGGACTTAATAACTGTCTGGATATGAGAGATGACAACACATTGGATACATGTGGATTCGTTCTAAACAAATGTACATGGCCTGGGTAACTTGTATAAATGCTACCATTTTTTTTGATTGTGTACTAAATCTGAGTCCATTTCCATAATGTCAGGGACTTTTTAGGCCTTAATATACTTTCTGTAATCAAGTTACATCATCAAAATTTGGAGAAGAATTTAGTTGTTCCCTGGTGCCGTCAATATTTGGGTGAAGTCATTCTATCATATTTCAAGTTTTTCCTCTCAGGCTTTCTAAGACTTCTGACAAATTGCATTATTTTGTATTTTCAAATACAGTTAGCAATTGGGTAGTTAGTTAAATGTCACATTGATGTGCATTTTATTAGAATGAGGTACTAGTGATATGGGAACTGAGAAGCCTCTAAAAGCATCAGAGGTTTCCTTTTTTTGCTTTTCATTTTCTAGCAAACAGATAGCCAAGAATATAGTATTAACAGAAATCTAGGTTTTTAACTATCTCTCATTGCTTTTCTTGCTTTCCATTTTTCAGCAAACACATGATAAAAAAAATAGTATCAATAGAAATCTAGGTTTTAAAATTCTCTCAGTGTCTGTGGCTACCCCTCAGTTTATATTTAAAATAAAATACTCAAATATATACAAAAAAAGCCCAAGAGTTTATTTGTCAGTGTTTACATCTTTTGGGGAAAATGTAGTTGGGTGTTAACTTTGAAACCACATTAGTGTCTGGAATGCCATTAAATATCACATTATTTTTTCTCATGTTTATAAGGGTGATGGACCAGCAAAACATGTGAAGTGCTATATTGTAAATACATTTTCCTCTCACTGTTTGGGGAGGACTAGAAGTTTATGCCATAGAAAGAGATCTGTTGTTTCCTTCTGCTAAAACATGAACATAAACAGTAACTTCACCTTTTTATTTGCCTACAGGGTAGAATTCAAACTTTTTTTTTATTCCTGGAAGTTAAAGAAAAGGAAGGTCATTTTAGTGTCTTACTGATAAAGGTAAGATTACATCTATTCTTAAAGAGTGAAGAAGGTTTGTTTTATATGCTGTTTTTTTTGTTTTTTACTAGTTAGTGCTTTGTGATATGTCAAAGTGAACTTGGTGATAACTTATTTCGTACAATGAATGGAATGTGTAATTGTTCGTTTAGTTATCAGTAGGTCCACATGAGATAAGAAAATGGAAGTAAATCAACATGACAAAGTGGTTGTCATTTGTTACATAATTAGAAAGTAAGCCATGCCTTGCATTTGACATACTGGCTTTTACAGCCAACCTATTCAACAAACATTTATGTACTTAACACCTTTTGCCAACTATAGCCATATTACTGATATCATCAAGATAACATTGTCCAGGCAAATACAACCTAGATTAAAAAAAAAAAACAACTTAAATTTAATCCATTAATCTAATTAGCTATATAACCTTGGGAAAGTCACTTAAATTCTCATTTTCCATATTTGTGCAATGTTTGGTTGGAGTAGATCACAGGACCATAGAGCCAGAATGGAACGAGATCTAGATGGAGGTCATTAGGCCAACTCCCTCATTTTACAGATGAAAGTAAAAGAATTTCAGTGACTTGTCCAAGGTCACATAGGAGTCAGTGGCAGAGCCAGGGTTCAAATGTAGGTTCTTTGATTCTAAATCCAGAACATTTTCCATGGTCCATGTTGCCTCCTAGTAATCTTTGTGGCAACTGATGTTTTTTTCTTTAAAACTTTGGCTAATGGTATGGGAACTAGAGAGGTGGTCAGCAGGGAATTATATGACAGAATCCTTGATGATTGAATGTCATTCCATAGCTTCATTTCTTTTCTCATACATATATGATGCTTAGTTAGCACTTAACTGTGCTATTATTTCTTATGTTACTCCCTGTGGGACTTCTGCAACTGTGGTACCATCTTACTTATTGACTTTATATTACTTATATGAGTGATCCAAAATACTTAAATCCCTGCAGATTCAGTACAGATAAAGTGTTCAACAATTGTTAACAAAAATGAGATTAAAAAATAAGGTTCCTGAAGCAAAAATCAATTAAATGTAAACCAATTGTATGTGAACCATATTTATGGCCAGATGCATTTTTCTCTATCTGAAATCTCATCATGTACGAATCTAAAAAGTTCCATTTGGTGCCTTTGGGGTTCATTCTTCTTTCTGGATCAGAATGTTTACTCATTATATTTTCATTGCTCACTGAGATAATTGTCACTTGTTTTAAAACTGGATCCTTTATTTTCCTTGAGTATTTTTTTTTTGGACTTCCACTTGTCACCTTTCTTGCTTTATACTAATTGTCATTATTGTTTTTCAATTTATATGACACTAATGTTTCTAATTACTCATTTTGAGTCATCTTCAAATATTCCTTTTTAAATCTCTTATCTGCTTAGTCTCCAGAACCTGATTTTCTTCTCTGGTAATGGCATTATTCACATGGACTTCTTTCTTCCTTCATCTGAGTAACTGTAGCACAATCTCTAATACAGATTTTTTACTTGACTACATTATTTTCAGGCAGCCAGGTGGTGTAGTGGATAGAGTGACAGGCCTGGAGTCAGGAATTGACTCATTATTGTGAGTTCAAATCTGGCCTTAGACACTTACCATCTGTGTGATCCTGGGCAAGTCACTTAATACTTCATGCCTCAGTTTCCTCATCTGTAAAATGAGTTGGAGAAGGAAATGGCAAACCACTGTAGTATCTTTGCCAAGAAAATCTCAAATGAGGTTCCAAAGAGTCAGGCAAAACTGAAAAACCACCTTATTTTCACTTTCTCTTCTAAGTTACCTTGACATTGTGTTGATTTCCTTCAGTGTAATAAAATCACAATTCAGACCTTTAGCTGGCAGAGCTCCTAGTGGTGTGGCAGCGTTAGCTCTGCTCAGTTGAAGAGCCATGGGAAAACATACAACAAGAGAGGCAAAAAAGAAATAGACATGGAGGGAGAGTAGGTTTTTGGGAGAGGGGATAAGGCAGCTAGCAGTTGGCATTAGTAAGTAGGCTGTGGCCACTTTGCTGCTCTCTCATTATTGATAGCAATCTTTGCCTTGTTCAGTACTAGGGAAGAGAGAGCACTTCCATTTGCTTGTGCACATCTAGTTTCAACTTAGCAATCAGTTAAAAAGGCTTTTTCATGACTATGCAGTAATCACTTTGTGCTTTTGATAGGGAACAGTCAGGATTCCTACACATTCTCTGAACCAAGGAGAGAAAGATCCCCAGCACCTACAGCGTGCATTTCTGGAAACAGGATCAATATACCAACATGTCAATTGGCAGTGGGCAGGGCATAGTATGGATGCTCTAAGACTGGGCCCTCATTGGCTAATTTCACCCATTATTATTATTTTTTTGTGTGTGTGAGGCAGTGGGGGGGTAAGTGATGTGCCCAGGGTCACACAGGTAGTAAGTGTCAAGTGTCTGAGGCCGGATTTGAACTCAGGTCCTCCTGACTCCAGGGCTAGTGCTCTATCCACTGTGCCACCTAGCTGCCCTTTCCCCATTATTCTTGAGTAAACTATAGGTCACCTGGATAGAAAAAGAAATAGTTAAAATGTTTAGGAAACTTCACAAAGTGGGCATAGAGACATGAAATAGTAGTGATAGGGAGGTAAATCATCTAGACATATTCTGGATGTCTTTCCCTATCTTTATCTGTGTTCTCTTTCTGTATCTGTCCCTTGTCTCTCACTGTATCAGTTATCTCTCTCTGTTTCTCTCTCCCTCTCTCTCTTTTCACTCCCCCTACCCCCCATCATAAAAATTTCATTGTTCAAAAACAGAGCAAGACGTGTTCTACTTAACAAGGAGGAAGGAAGGGGAGGAACCATGTATTTATTAAAGCACTTACTATGAGCTGGGCACTATCCTAAATGCTTTACATATCTTATCTCATTTGATCCTGAGAGAGAGGAGGAATTGATTGACTTGTGAGGAGTGAATGCTCCATCTTGGAGTTTGCAATTGTGAAAAAGAGGAAAGGCAGACATGGCTTCCTGTGTGCCTTAGATGTTGGGAGAACAAAGGAAGGGTTTACAGGAAGGACAGGTATGGTCAGAGGGACTGAATTCCAAATGGGAAGTCAGCCTGAGAGGGCTTTTTAGAATGAAATTCTAAAGACCCACAAGGAAACAGTACTGATCATGAGAAAAAGAAGGGTCTGCCTGAAGAAATAAATGTGGATATACATGGAATCCAACTTAGATTTTAAAAGTATAGAGGCAAGGGAAGTAATGTAGGGTGACTATAATGGCTCAAGAAATATATATATATATATAAATAGATCAAGGAAAGTGACAGGAATTTTAAAGCTTAAACTGAGCTGAAGTTGACAAAGAAATCCAAAAATATAAGAACCTTTTTTTCCCCTTTTTAAATATACGCTGGGGAAGGTAGAGGATGAAAGATAGCAATGGATCACTGCTCAGCACAAATGGGATAATAACTGAAACAGAACGAAGGCAGTGCTACTCCGTTATAATTTTGTTTGTTTTTCCTCTGCCAAGAAAAAACAGAACACTCTTTGGAAAGGAAAAGACAGCAGCAAGATAGTTAATAGTAAGAGAGAGCCTAACAGTTACCTGATTCAGGTAATCTGTATCTTTTGGTAATGAAAGAATTGTTCCTTATGATTGCCACACTATTGTCCAATTAATTATTAGTGGTGATTGTGAGGAATGGCAAAAGTACTGAGGTATTAGGGATGGGCAGATGCATCTATTTTCAGACAAAAAGAGAACAGATATTGTAAACTATAAGCCAGTGAAAGTGACTTCTATTCCCGAACATTTGAAAAAAAAGGAGCAGTGATAAAGAGCTAACATAGTTCATCAAAAACAGGTCCTTGCCACAAAATCAGTGCATCCAGGACAGGAAAGGATGCCATCAGTTGGGGAAAATAAATTTACAGCAAATGTATGTATGATAAAGCTCTTATATTCAGGATATGTAGGGGAGCTAAAATATGTCTATCTACTATCTATTTATGTATCTATCTATCTATCTATCTGTCTGTCCATCATCTGTCTATCTATCATCTGTCTGTCTGTCTATCTGTCTGTACATCTATAATCATGATCTGTCTCCTGGATATAAACAAAGAAACTGAAAAGAATTACACACTACAAATAACCATATGAAAGTTTGTGGCTCCCAATCACTAATAAGTGAAATATGCATAAAATTAACCTGAGGTTTTGACTCACGCTTATTAAATTGGCAATGATAACAGAAGATGGGAATAGTAAATGATGAAAAAGTTATAAAGAGATAGGCAGACTATTATACATCTTCTGCAGTTATGAATTGGTCCAACAGCGATAGAAAGCAATTTTTGAAAAGTTATCAGAGATAGAGGAACTGTATCTATCTTACTTAAAGCATGCGTTCCCCCCCCCTTTTTCTTTTAAGCAAACCTTCTCTTTAGTGTTTGAAAAGGATGACCCGACTAAAACTGCAGCTACATTCATGTGTTCTGTTCTGTATATTTGATTCTGCATTGCTTGCATTTCAAAGAGCCTGATTTAAAGTCAGTCTGATCTGATGAACTTCTGTGGAAAAGAAAAGCCAGATAAGTATTCCTTAACTTGTAAACTGAAAGAAGATAAAACAATGCACGGTTTGATTTTAATCCTCTTTGCCTGGAGACTCAAACATACTCAAACTTAGTTAGCACATTGGTTTCAAGGGAAAGAGTGCTCAGGAAGAAAAGGCTGTCGCAGTAGCCAGTCAATGAATTGCTCACAGATACCTTTAAAATCTGACTTTGAAAGAGGCTTTTGAAGAAATTGTTTATCATAGGGTCTCACATAAATTGCATCACTGTATAAATAAACTTGCCTGGTGGAAAAAAATAAACATTATATCTGGTAACAGGATTATCGCTGGATATACACTTGAAGTTGAAAGCTTTAAGGTTACATTAAAGTTGAAAGTTGTTTGGAAAATCTCATCTCTTCCAGCTGTGGGATATCAAATAGACAC